AATCGAATGTTTTTCGAATTATTCAAATGCTTTATCTGTGTTCTCGAAATCGTCGACGAAAATTTTGTATCCGCACACATACACATACGCGCACACACACACACACACACACACAAACATACTCCATTTTTTCTAAGGTATGCCAAAATAATTCAGAAACCTCTGAAACGTAAAGATATATAAAAATTTTCGTTTTCGATTTTTTTGCGATTACTATAAACTTACCCTACGGGAAGTTAATTAGGTCTTTAATTAAAATATTTTATTGCTATCATAAATGGATTACTTAAGTAACATTAAAATCGCAAGTCACTTAATTGAAGTGAAGCTTTGGTTTTACAAAAATTCATTGCAATCCAATATGGATTTTTAACGTTGCGTATTTAAAAACAAAGATTTCAACTTTGTTTTAATTGTAATTAAATTAATTAACACGTGTGGGAGATATAAGAAATTAATTTGCGGTAGTATAACTTCTTAACATATTTTGATAATTTTCAATGCTTGCAAAAGTTATTCATAACTAGTGGTGTATGGAATCGTGCCTTAAGGCAAATTGCTGGAACTTCCACTACCGTAACGAAATGTTCGAGAAATAATAATGTTTTCAAATAGATTATTATAAATATTGTAACATTGTCTAATATTTATGAGAATTACATAAACTGAATTGCAAAGTTGAAATTATTTGTTTACAGTATATTAGAACTATAATCAGAATTAAAATTAAAATCTGAATTATTTTCAATATACACAAAAAAAATTTTTCTTTGAAAAAAAAAAATTGAAAAAAAAATTGAAAACAAAAATTTTTTTTTCAAAAGAAATTATTTTGTTGAAACAAGCAGAAGATTTTTGAATCATCAAATCAGACACTTAGTTCTCTCAAAAACTGCCATTTTTTGCACATTTAGCTCTGTACTTTTGAAATGGCTGCACCTGCTTTGCCAAAAACTAATCAACCCCTGCTCCAATCATTACAAATTGAATGTTTTTAAATCATTCAAATCGGATGCGTCGTTTCTCAAAAACTCGATTTGTATTTTTCTGCACTCTTTGCTCCGTATCTCCGTAACGGCTAGACCTGCCTTTGTCCAAAACTAATCACCACATCTTCCTATCAATAAAAAATCGAATATTTGTGGAACCATTTCAAATCGGTTGATACGTGCGCCCAAAAACATGAACGAAAAAATGCGGACACACACATATTCATTTTTTCAAAACGTCGAGAAATGCAAAAAATTTTTATTTTCGATTTTCGCGCATTAGTATAACTTACCCTACGGGAAGTTAATAATTATTTTGAAAAGAATAAATAAAATTACTTATCGTTAGCAACAAGCGTTTGATTTTTCCTTCCTGCTACAATATAAAATAATAATGGTACAAGTAACTGTAACTTTATCATTTTAGTTTTGTAACTAAGCCTGATCTTACAATATTAATCTTGTTTATTAATTTTTAAAACTTGTTATTAAGATATTTATTAACATATATGCCGAACCATAAGTATAAATATTTTTATGTATATATGCAATATGGGGTGCAATCAATCAAAATATAATTGATGAACTAAAGTATGATCGTACAAATGCCATTATTTTGATGAATACAATTACTCAAATTTTATTATGGAAAACAGAGAAAAATCATATACTGGCAGATTTACAAGCACACATATATATTTTTGTATGGTCAATTCGTTATTGCTGTGAGTGTTCAACTACTTAATATTTTTTTATATTATAGCAAAACACACCGATTCAGCTATAGTAAAGTTTACCAAAGACTTAAAAATGTTTTAAAAAATTTGCAAAACATCAAACCATTTATATATATATATATATATATATATATATATATATATATATAAACCTCGTGTCACGATGTTGGTTCGCAATAGACGCCCAAACAACTGAACCGATTTTAAATTTTATTGACTTATCGTGTGCATATATATCCAACCTAGGTTATAGGAAATTTTGAAAATTTAATTTAAAATATAAATATATAATTTTTATAAATTAAAATAAATTTTGACAGATATTTACTAAAAAAAAACGAAACACTAAAAGGTCAAATGTCAACATATATGGAAAATTCGAGAAAAAAAGATTTATGATTTTTGAAAAAAAATATTTGACAGTTCAAAAAATATGTTCAAAAAATATAGTTCAAAAACATGATATATACAACATTTATATCCAAATTAGATGAAATGCTATATTTAAAATCACTGTTTATAGTTTAAATATAATCAAAAATCAATATTTATGAATTTAAATAAATGTTGACATTAAAAAAATGTGAAATGATATTTGTTATATTTATGAAAATTATTAGGTAAATAGATTTATAATTTATATTTATTTGATTTGCTTACCAAATTAGTTCGGATACCAAAACTTCTCCTCAAAACATTATAGATCACAAAAAAGGCGACATATTAAATTTAACATTAATCATAAACAAAATTTTGACAGTTTAAAAAATTGAATTTTATACTAAAAATATTTTTATATCAAACGAACGTTTGCCGGATCAGCTAGTATATATATGTATATATATGTATATATATATATATATATATATATATGTTATATATATATGTTTTTGTTTGTTAATATTTCACATAACAATTTACTATAATATTAGTTAAACTGTGGCATATTTGATGAGGTTTATGGCAGGAACATAATTACTAGCATGTTTGTTATTCGACATTAAATCATATTACTAATTGACTCGTGAAAATATTACTATAATTTTCGCGAACAAACAAAATGAAATTAGTCGCATTAACTACAAATTGAAATTCCTACTGAAAGGTAGGAATTTCTAGCTTAAATATGAATTATATAATTTATATAAAAAAAACTCTGTAGTTCGATGAAAATATTAGCGAGACATTATCTATTTAACCAGGCAAAACTTCCTTACACTAGCTATTTTTTTATATTACAAGTCTAAATGTTTGGATTCTTGCGGTCAATAAAGATCTACTAGCTTGATTAAAATAAATTAAAATTAAAATTAATTAAAAAATATAGCAGATGTAAGGTGGCATGTTAGCTTATTGGCAACTCGAGAACTACCCCATATTTGTAAATAATCAACTTAAGCAATAAGAATTGATGTTCTAATTGTGACGATACAACTTTGACACAGCCCATCATTCTAAATTTCTAAGAAATTTTACAATTAAACCACTTGTAAGCTCACAAAAATTTAGTATATTCATTAAGACCTTGAACTTTATTATAAAAATGTCAATAAACATAAAAATTACAAAGAAACGGCACGATCGATCTTTACCAAAAACTAATTAGAACCATCCCTTTTATATGTTATTCCAACGATTGCTGAATGGACAAATAATTTGCACTTTTCGTCCATTTTTCAAATGTTTCCGTCCATCTTCTTGTAAAACGTAAATTTCAACAAATGGCTTTTAAATATTTAAAATTGTTGCTGCTGGTCTTGTAAAAACGTCTACAAAAGGTCAGATTTTAGTTTTCTTGTGATCGGTCAATTTTTTGATTTTCTATCGAAAATATAAATTTCTCCTTGGGAAAATTAATAATAAATTTAATTATTTTGTTCTTATATTTTTTGGTTCAAGTACAATAGTTGGATTCAGAGGTCTTGGGTTCGAAACCCATTTCGAACAACTTTATTGTCAAGCGGTAGTGACAACGATTTTCACTAGGAAATATAGATAGCAATATGTTTCCAAGTGAAGATAGCCCTTGCCCGGCATTGCTGTACCAATAAAAAGTCAGCCCTATTAGATAAATTCTAATAATAAAATCAACAAATAATATGGATGTATTAATCATTGGGTTTCAATCTAAAAATTAGAAGGAGAAGTTTCAGCTCAACAGCTCATTAGACGTGATTGTTGTTAAGATATAAGAAAAAGAAGTAAAATAGTATTGACATTTAATTTGTAATTAGTTGATTTTATTAATTCAATATTTTTTAAGAAATATAAGTTTCTAGTAATTTGTTTTAAAGATGCCAGATATTTCATTTAAAACCCTGAGATTTGAGTAATTTCTATACAAATTCAATTCTTAACAAGTCTCACAATTAGTGTTTGTTTAAATTTAAGGGGCACAACTAGTGTATCCGCCTAAAAAATAGGTAATTTTTGGAAATTTATATTAAAAAAACTACTTTATCAATCATTTCAAAATTTTAGGAATATATTCATACATGTTTTAAGAATACATAGTATTTTTGAACAAAAAAGTTAAATATTTTTTAAGTTATCGTCGATCTCCAACGGCGCGATAAAAAAAGGCCATTCACTGCTGCTGTGATTCCGGCCTTCTGCGTGGATAAAATTTAAATAAAAATTCTCGTCAAACTAGATAATATTGTCTGTAAAATGAACTACGATAAAAAACAAAAATCAAAAATTGACAAAATGACGGCATTTTTTTAAAAAAAGTCGAATTTTACCCAAAATTTTACTCGTTTTTGGACTGCCAAAATTCGATTTTTGATCCGATCAAAAAATCGATAGTTCATTTTACGGAGAACTATATATAGAGCATATAAAAAAATTGATAGTGATCGGATCATTTGTTTTGGAGTAGTCGCTGCAGCAAATTCGGAAAATGCTGTTTCAAAAAAACGCGTTTAAAGAATAAATGATCATTTTACTATATACTATATATATATGCACTTTAAATGGCTGTGACTCAAAAACTATTTAAGATATCGATTTAAAATCTTGGTATGTTATTTTTAAAGGTATAACCTATCGAAATATGGAAAAATTTAAAATTCGATTTTTTGAAAATTTCACATAAGTTGTGCCCCTTAAGAGAGATAATTCATTCATTGCCAAACCTATTTAATAATATTTGCTCAATCATATTTAACGCGTGTTATACCAATGGTATTCGCATGCAATAAAATTATTTTTATTTTTAAATTCGAGCTATGTCAAAATCATGAACAGATTTATGATATTATTTGAAAATCACCTGTCAACTGCTATCGCTACGAGGTGGAGAATTGACGCCGTACAACACAACACATCGCTCGACGTCCACATATCACATAATTCAGGACCCAGGATCCAGCCTTTACTTATCTGCAATATAATAGATAAGTATTATTATATATGTTTAACTTTTTTTTTTAATTACATGACTTTCGAGTCACATGACTTTTCGAGTAATGTTCGCACTTATGGGTAATGGTACTTCAGGTTGGATATCTTTCTAAAGACCATAGACGTTACTGTAAACATTTGCAACAAAATGAATGCGTATTTTCATAGTGCCCACAGACGACTCAAGTGTATGTTCAAGTGTTTGCGCAAGCCTATCAAGCATCACAAGAGAATTCAAAGAGTTCAGAGGGCTACTTTAAATACTTACAAAAGTTGATAACTTCATAAATTTGTATTATGTGTATTCGCTACGAAGTAAAACAAAAACGGGACAATGTGCAATTATACAGTAACGTCTGCGGCGGGCTTAAAGTTCGTATTGATATTGTATGTCTTGAAAATGTTATAATATTAAGATGTATGCACCATCTCACAAAAAAAAAACTTTGATGTCAAATTTCCACTTGAAGTCATAGGTCTCAAATATAACCTCAAGTGAAAATTGCCTCTCGTGGTTATAGTTGCACATATAATAAAAATGTCAGCAAATACTTCGAGTATAGATAATTAGTCCTTATACCTAGTAGACACGCCGCTGGGTGTTGCTACTATCTTCTGGTTTATATTGTAAGATAATTATTGTTAGCAATCTTAGCTTAATGTTAATGCTCATGTAAAACAGGTTGCAGAATAAATTAAATAAAAAAAAATCTCACAAAAAAACATTATTTGGTAGAATATCGAAAAAAATTGGAATGTGACTTAAATGTTACGCCGGCCTATAGAGGGTTAAATAATTTTATATATTTAAACCACTTTCTGAAAGTCTAATATTTAAGTGTGTATGTTTAGACCATGAACTTCAACATTACTTTAAGCAAAAAAATTTGGTACTTGTTTACTGTTTCTAATGAAACAGCCTGGCTGATCATGATAACAAAAGATTTAAGTTAAAACCAATCAATACAAAATCTTATCGAGTTTTAGCATATGGCCTTAAAATCTTTGAAATTGGTTTAGCCTTTTTTAAAAAAACGGCGACAAAATATTAAATTATGGGGCTCACAATTAGAGATGTAAATCTTTTTAGAATCTCAACTTAAAATGCAGAGAAAAACCAAAATTAGTAAATCGTATTTACTGATGAAAACATAAATTTTGGAAAGTTAATTAGATTGATGAATTAGATATATAACTTAAATTAAATTCAATATGAAATTTTGTGATATTTGAAACTCTGAAAATTTTACATTCAGTATTTTATTTTAATTTGCTGATATTTTATTATATGATAGGTGCATATATATATAAAAATAAAAGAAAATAAAAAAAGCATTTTGTTTTAAAATTGATGAATTTTCAAATAAATTTAGAAAATTTTGATAAACATACGACCATGATTAAGTACTGTTATTTTAGTGATAAATCAGGTGTATTCGTAAACAAAATTTTACACATGGTGTGAGGGCAAAATTTCAAATTGTTCAAAGAAATACTATACTATGATAGAGCTGCAAAATTGTCAAGTATGCAAAACTGATTAATCTAGAAATAAAATAAGTCATTAAAAAGGCAACAAAAAGGATAGTATGTAAATTATTAAATAGCATTTTGTGTTTTAGACAAAAATGACAAATATCATTGATCTTTCGCGAGAAGTTTATATTTTATTTAACATTCATAATTCTTCATACGGAACTCTGTAATTTATATAATCACACCAATTAATATTGCCATGTTTTCTGAAAACAAAGAAGTGCTTGACTAATAAGTGCTAAATCCTTAGATCCAGAATGAAATCTAATTTAGATTGAACTTAAAATAGTACATAAAAGTTTCCGAATTATTCTTATTAAGCTAAAGCATAAATAACTAAACGGATTATGTATTAACATAAGTTAATGTTGTTTAATATTTATTGAACAATGTTCAACAATTATTAGGAATGCATATATTAAACAATTTTATTCGTAAATTTTGTTGTGGTACTTGGGTTTTCATTATGTGTACTCTTCTCTTATTTCGCATTCCAAGTTTGTTAATTTAACTCAATGTTCTGTATAAGTAAGTTTTCCAAAATATCCCAATCTGATCCATTATGGCTAATGGCTCCAGCTAATAGCCATAATAAAACATGATTCGAAAAGTTTGTGGGTTACTATTCTAAAAAGATACAGAAGAGAAGTCTTTCAAATGTTTATTTGCATTGAATATTCATAAATCATTTTTTTTATTAAATATAAATATTTTTAACTTCCCGAAGGAGAAGTTTATGTTTTCATCAGAAAATCCGAATTGCTAATTTTATGTTTTCTCGACGTTTCAAGCCATTCTGAATCGAATGAGACCAAATTTGAAAAAAGTATGCGTGGGTGTGTATGTTTGTGAACAGATTTTTTGCCGTAAATCGATGAGGACTAGCGTTTCCAAGTGCAACGATCGGCCGAGCCGTTTCTTTGTAAATTGCAGAAAAATAAAAATTTTTCGTCCACGTTTTAGCCCGCAATTCTGAATCGATTTTGAAAATTCAAAAACTGTTCGAAACATAATGGTTGGGAATCGACCTGATTAGTTTTTGGTAAAGATCGGCCAAGCCGTTTTCTTGTAATAAGGTGTTAAAAAAAGTTTTTTTCGACGATTTTCATGAATTTTTTTTTGACGGTAAATACCATAGTCTTATAGATCACACTAGAATATTACGGTCCTACGACAAGTCTTTTAATTTTAAAAAATCGTCAACGTTTGCAAAAATTAGTTTCGTTTTTTTTGCCGTTTGTCAAAATGATAACTTTCATCGACGTTTGCTCAAAAACGCCTGAACCAATTTAAAAAAAATTAAAAACCAATCAATGTATTTTGCTCATTTAATGAGCATACTAAATCATTAAAGTCCTACAAGACCGGGTTGACGTGTTCGATTTCTAATGATATGTAATAAATCTACTTCGAATACTTTCAACTACTCATAAATTAATTTATCTATCATGGATTTAGTCGATTATTTACACATATCGGAAAGTTCATGTAACTTGCCTCAAGGCTAAATACTAATACCAACTAGTTTTGTATTGTACTTATACTTTAGTAAAGTAAACCAAAATGCGACATGCATACGTTTTGAAAAAATAATGTATATGCAATTTTGGACTTATTAAACTGAATTATATAATTTTATTTGCCAAACATATACTGTTGACTGTATCTTATATTATTTTAATTTCTGGCAGATCTCAACAGCTTTTCGGCAATAATAATGTAGACATTACAATTTTCTTGTATAATATATTCTAATTTAATCTATGCTCATTATTACTATAGTTTGATCGTTCATATCGTTCAAAAATTTCCCTTGACAAACTCTAAAAAGAATTATCAATATCGGAATAACTGTTTAAGAAAATCATCAACTCATACACCCGTACAGAAGAATTTTACATATAAGATATATATAATCGAATTCAACTTTTATTTGAAAAGAAGCCACATAAGATCAAATTATAAACTAAATAATACGTATAATATATATTTTATACAAATTGGAATTTTCTAAAATGCGCGTTTGTGACACAACCCAATCGTTCTCGATTTATATATATAACTAACGATTTTCGAACGAATACTAAACTACTGATTGCTAGATAATTAAATAAGTTTTCCAAAGCAAATAGAAGTCGAAGCGAATAAAATATATCGTAGTTTGGCCCAACGGACTAACGTTGTATAAGGAAGAAAATGTTCCGAATGCTTCTGGACGAACATATACTATGATTGCATAGAATAATGGTGTCCAAAGTGCGGCCTCGGGGCTAAATCATTTGGAGCATTGGACGAAATGCAGCTATTTATTTATTGATTCATTTATTTATTCAATCGTTACATTAATAATAACAAAATACTAATAATTTGTAAAAATTTTCATCAAAGTTAGACCTATTAGATTAATTTGTGTCACATTTTGTTAATATAACACAGTGATAAATTAGTTTGTTGCTGGATAAAATGATTTAAACAACTTCACGATATGTGTAAATAATCGACTTAATCAATAAAAAATAAATTAATTTGAGTGATTAAAAGTATTCCGAGTTTATTTATTGCACATAATTGAAAACGAACGAACACGTTACCTCGGAGTATTTTCTAAAAGCAAATTTTCAAAAATCAACAATATTTATAATTGAATTAGTTTCAGCAGGACTTTAATTATTTAGTATGTCCATTAAGACCAAGTACGCTATCGTTATACCAAGTAAATCGTCTAATATTAATTTTGACCAATGTCAAAAAAACTACTCATTTTCTCAAACTTAGATGAATTTTTAAAATTAAACTACTTGTAATGCCGTAAATTTTCAGTAAGTTTTATAAGACCATGATATATATCGCCAAAATGAGTTCGATAATAATTTTGACTAATACTTTCTATAATATAATATAATAATCTATATAATTTCATTCTTGTTAGTTTAGATGCAAAAATTGGGTTTAACTCCTTTTAACCTAATACAAATGAAGTATAAGAAAATTATTGAAATGATCACCATAGCGTTTTATAATTGTTGTCAAGTTTTTTATGTGGTATGATCAAAAAAAACAGACAAGCTATGTTTTTAAATATTTGCAACTTTTATTTAAAATTTCTTGCCGATTTTAAAAATTGACAGGTGATTTTAAACCGCATTCTTGAAAGTAGAAAAAATAATTTTCTGTCAGTGGTTTCTCAAAAATACATAATTCAAGTTTAACAATAAGTTTTAAATATTCGATAAATTTAGTTCTGAAAGAAATTTGAAAAAAAGCAGTTTCCCTAAAATTAAAAAAAAAGTGGTTCCAAAAATTGTAAAAACATGCGCTTGATATTGTGATTGGTGAAGACTGATATTTGAAAACTTCTCCAATGATTTGCATGCAAGTAAAATATATTTTTAAAGAAATTTATGAACTAGATGAATGCCAAACCTCGAATAAATTTATCGCTG